GAGCCATAAAATAGAGTAGTCCCGTTCCTCCGATTACCCCGATTCTTCGGGGCAACCATGACGGTTAATATTATCGTCAACCGAATTACAAGATAGCGACATTGCTACAAGGCCTTGCTCGTGGAGGAAAGACAAAGTCCTCGTTGGCAAAGAAATTCGCCGGAATCGCTCGTGACTGGCGACACGTTCGCCTCGGATGCGAATCCCATCAATTCGTCCCCGAGTTGCGTCAACGATACTTAACCTACGTACGACTTTGCCCGCAATCGAATTAGCAAGTCGAGACGGCCATTGGGACGTCGGGGTCCCCGAAACCGTGTGACGAAAGACTCGATTGATCGATCGGCCGATCGATCCCGAAGCCCCGTCGCGTCCGGAGGCTCTGCAGTCATCGATTCGATTGATTAAGACGCACGATTAATTAATTCTAATTGACCTAGACAGACGCGGAAGCGTCTGAATTCCTCCGTCCATTGGCATCGCGACACTCCTTCCTCGTACGTAATCGAACGTAATAAGCAAGGTTCATCCACGACCGCACTTAATGAAAAAATGAATGAATAAAAGGAGATCAAAGTAAACGGACTGAAACACCAAGCGCAATCGTCCACTCGCAATGGTCACTTTTTCGTACCAGACGCGTTACATCGAATTTTCGACTATCCACGGTATTTCGCATCCCCCTCGTTCGCGATTCCATAAATCCACGTCCGAGTTACTTATGATTATAAATCAGTGCGACACGTTTATTCCATTCGTTTTACCGTACAGAAGTCGGAGAGGGGCAGAAGGCGCGGAGCCGAAGAAAGAGCAATAAGTCTCGCGTTAATAGGGAGAAGGTTTCTTGCGCGAATCCGTTTTCCGACCCATCAGAGAGTACATATATACCCGGCTAATAAGTAACCGAGCACGCGAGTGAGGAAGGATGGAGCTTCCTAGACCTACGGACTTTTCAGCTCGCCAGTGGCTGGCTGTGTCTCCTCGGAGGGTCAATAAATTTGCGGCCCCTTGCCGAGGTAAGCTAACTGGTTCGCATATCTGCGGAATTATGCGAAACATCGTCCCCATTAATGATACTAAACGAATCGTGCGATTGAGTGCAATTGGAGATAGACCGTTTCTAGACACGTGGGAAGAACTCCGAGTCCCTCAACGACTCGATTAACCCTTTCCTTTGGGTCTTCACGGGTCGTCCGGAAAGGAAGTACCCGGTCATCGTGCGCTCCCCGAAATGGGAAATCAGTGTTTTCTCGAGTAAAACCACGCGACACTGGTAAATCCAAAGCGAGACAAGACTAAGTAATTAATCAGACATTTATCGGCCTTCCCGATGCTTGAGAGACTTCTTCCCGATAGCACTGGACCGAGCAATTGGGCGGGAAAAGGGCCAGTTTCTCGCGAGATATACAATCGGTGTAACCCTGGAACTATTCGGGACCCTCGGATACATCTCATTAAGCCGAAAGAATAATATCATCCGATTCGAGATAATTACGGTGGATTTATGTCAACCGCGGTACTCCCACCAGAGAGCAGCCATCTTTGGAAGCAATTACTGCATGCATCGCCCAGGCTCAAGCGTAATCGCTGACTTCCAGATTTTTAAATACAATAATTCGTTTTGATTGGAAAAATTGTATGCAATACGTACAACAATTAACAGTAGTTATTCAAGCGGGGGGGAATAATAAGAGCAGAGCCTTTTTCAGAGCGCGTGTTAAAGAGCCATACGGAGGGAATAAGAGGTCCAGAATTCCTCTTAAAAATGAAAGGTTACGAACCGCGAACTTGAGTCGATGTTTATGACTCGCGTGAATAAGACTGACGGGGCATAAAAATGTAACGAAAATAGTCCTCGTGACAGGAGGGAATTTGCCCCTCGGGAGATCTACTTTTGAAGAGGCTAGCCCAGATGGACCACCCTTTGGCCGGTCATCAAACACAGGCATGTCGTTCACCCAACATTGACATATATTATCGACGGTCTGCAGTGAAGACTACATAAAGGGAGACCTCTAAACTATATCCCCTCGCTTTTCATGGGGCGCATTAAAACCGCGTGTGGTCCGCGATAGAGGGGCAGTATTTCACGTGGTTATCGATAAGGATATTCGGAGACGTCCATAGACGGCGTCGAGCCGGTTCAGATGTGGGCTTTCGGCTGGACGATAAATAAGAATATGTGGAAATATTTCCGTGCAACGACATCCTGAGCAAACGGACTGGCCGTTGATTTATACCCTAACGGCGGGCACTGCGGTCCACTGCGATCTATTTCAGCCGCCATGAATATCGGCTGCTCCTTTGCGATATCCTGCGTTCGATTTCTTCCTTTCGGCCCGTTCTATCCGGCAGCCTTTACACGGAGACCTTACAACGCATCGATGACGGTTGCTTCGTCCGAGGGCCAGGAAATTCTTGGAAAGTAAGGAATCGTAAATAAGGTCGGGCGTGGTGCAAGGTCCAGGGAAATGTTTTATCCCACGTCCTCAGAGCTCGGTGCGTTTCGTTCTAATAATACCCCAGGTACTCGAAGAACACCTCTGGAAGAGACTGGACACATGCTAAGGACACCTTCCACCATCAGAAAGGCGCCGACACCGTAGGGGGGTCTTGCCCACTGTCCAACAAATCGAGAATTCCGAATTGATGAAGTTTACGACCTCTGAGAATATTACCGGTGCCGAAGAATATTATCAGATTGCTGCTTTGTGTTTCCTCTCAAAGACCCCTTATGGATCCGGCCATTGTTACAGAGGGACTCCCAAAAGAAATTTATTTCAATACCGGTATTACGATCTCTGGAGTCCTAACTTCGAAAGCTCCCTACATCCTCTTGTTGACACTCCGATTCCATAAAGTGCCACTTATCGGGAGAATCTAATGAGTGCCTAGCCAATAAGCTTTCGCGTGTTTCTATCATAACCTGATTTTCATGGTTTATAGGAGAAATTATCGTGAGACCAACACCGTAACTGCTGGAAAGGCATTCGATAATATCTCGCATCTAATCGATTTTACACGGAAAGGCATCAGCCCCCGTATCTCCAGATCACTACTCTCGGGTGCTGATGGTTCAGGAGGTTTCATTGAATTCAGATAAAGCGATATTAATGGCTCCCCTTTACCCCCTGGATCGTCTTAGGCGCGAACGGTGCCTCGGGAATAAGTTACAATCTGTCGGGGTAGGAAACACATTTTCTCAGGAGGACAACGCCCCTCGTAAACTTTGTGGTTTATGCTCGTCGGGTGTCTTTTTGGCCTCTTAATGGGAATGGGTCATTGAATCTCCATCAAATCTGTGAAAAATCTGAGTTCCTCTAAAAAAAGGAAATAAAAGAAATTTCTAATTTACACATTTTAATAGTTAGTTATTTACCTCATTTGCATTTGATAACGAATTATGATATTTTTATCTCACTCATTCGTGTCCCCAAAATTCATACCTGCGGGTATTCACCTTGCACAATTTTACGACGCATTACTCTCGCGAAGTGACCAAAAAGCTGGCCAATATTATTAGTCGGATCGAAAATCAAATTCAAGGTTCGAATTTAGGATTCAATAATCCTAACATTACAGGTTTCATCAGTTTGAGCTTGAATTTAAAATTATAGATTTCAGTAGGAAAAATTAAATCAATGAATAAGTCAGACAATTAAACATTTTTTATTTCATGCCTTTTACACATTTTTTTAGTGATACTTTGAAATTGCATGGAAGTTTATGTTAAAAGATTTTCTGAGTCACTGATTATGGATAGCAAATACTAGCGACTAATTGTTTTAAATTACAAGGAATAACAATGCAAGCTCAAAGTTTCTCTGGAAATTCCTGGAACACCGCTGGGTTTATAACGTTTCTCCCTAATTGAAAATAAAATATAAGAAATCTTCGTTAGCGTCAAGGCATAATTTGATGCGATATTGAAAATCTTTTAAAAGAAACTTTAAAAATCATAAAGTATCCTACGTTTATCCAGCATTTCCTACATTTACGGAATTGAAAATAGACGCTTGTAAACAAAAACACACTTACTCAAAACTCAGAGTAAAGTGTTTGTTTTCCTTATCCGTGATTCACAGAAATGTTTCCCTCCTCTTTTATTGAATTGAATTTATAATAATTTCAATGAATTACTCCCTCTCTTAGGTTTTGGCCAAACTTTTCGTTCAGTGCGCGACGTGTTAAGAAACGCTTATTATCGGCTAGTGTGACGTCTTTGAGTATGTGTTTGTAAGACGTGTCTTCGAACTGTGTAAGAGCGGACGCTCAAACGTTATCACAGCCATTAACTCTTGTCCGATAACTATTTACCTACACGACCCCATCTGTACTCGATCGTTAACTCGGTTGCTTCGAAGATGAAAAATCAGATTGAAGCACAATTTCTTAAAAGCGTGGAACCCGACTTCGCGGCGAGATCATCGCGCACTTATCGGCCTTATCGCGCCGAGAGAACACCGCGGGATCCTTGCACTCACTGAGAGAGCACATGGCGCGCTATCTCTGACGTAACGTATAGCCGTGGCAAGAAGTGTTCCATTTGACATTAAAGTATGTACCGAAAAGTCCGACTTACGTACACACCGAATGACTGATTTCCACGGGAACGAGGGCGCTAAATCTGCTAAAAGACGTACAAATTGAAACTCTTGTCCGAGTAACAAGAAAAAGATAAAGAATTGAAAAATGATAATAATACATCACGTCGTATCAAACGTTCTACTTACATGTTGAAGATCTGATAAATAGTGTTAATCATCGTAGAAAAATACTCTAGTAGTGGTACGTATGAAAATGTGGGGAGATAATCGATCGCGTTTTATCGACTACCTTGACACCTCTTTGGGGGAAACGAACGCGGTGGCGTTTACTTGTAAAATGTGGAAGAAAATGAAATCCTAACTGGTCAGTGAACGGTTAGTAGCGAATCGAGCGGATATGTCGGCGTGCCGTTATCAGAATCGTATTAAGTTTTTCTACAGGCTGTACGGTACCTTGCGCGCTCTGTAGGCATGTACGGTGTTTACTCCGAGGTACTTCCGGGCGACGAGGAAGGAGATGGACGCCACCGCGAGGAGTCTTGCACCTCGCCACAATCTGGGGGACCGATTAGCCCGAAAATCCGGGGAGAAAACTCGCGCGACATTGCGGAAAAGTCGCGAAAACGCGGACGAGGATCTTGACAGAGACGACAGAGCCGCCATCTTGGTCGACGCGTGCGCATCGAGGCGACGCGCGCGCCAGGGACGCGCCTCGGCTGCCGGACATATTAATAGGCGCAGGAAGCTTTCTCGGCCACTTTCGCTCTCCAAAAATACATTTACAATGACCCGAGGCTGGTTTCGCCGAGTTCCCGGTAGCCGAGACTAGAATCGGGGAGTAAAACCGAGGAAACCCTTCGCCGTCGTGGAAAACTCTCCATGTGCAAAGAAGGTGCTCCAACGAAAATGTCTCTTTTGGACCGGAGGGTCAGACGATTTTAATAGCTTTTGCAAAAACTTCTGCTTCAAAATCGCAAGTCGAAAATTATGCGATATATATATATATAGTTTTCAATTTTAATTAGTATGTTAGTCAATGGATAGCGGCGCTGAAGTCGATTCTCCAACTCTCTTAATCCTTTGACGATACAACTTTCAAAATATTACGTACCAACACGTGACTTCTACGTAACCTCTGAATTTCTTTTCCTGGTGTTTATATTTGTATTATGAGTATCAGAATAATTACATCTATGGTTTTCGGCAGGTTCACCCTTAACAAATGTACATTTCAAAATCTGAATTTAAGGGAAGATACTGATTTCTCGTTAGCTCGAGGAAATCTTCCGAGATGGATCGCGCTGGATGCGCGGCGCTCTCTTCGGAGAACAAATCGGTGAGTTGTCCACGTCGGGGAAGCGGAGTGATCGGTAATTACTCTCGCACTAGACGTTGTCGGGTCGATGGGCAAAAATAAAGCCAGAAGACGAACGGCGGCTTTTCTATGTCTCTATATCCATGACTACTTCGCGAGGAATCCGATAACGATCCGCCATATAATTCCGCAGGTAGAAATTCTGGAGCGCCGCTGGTACGCCGTCTTTGAGAAAAAGCTCGAACCGCGGATTCCCGAGGGGTTTGCATCGATACAACAGAAAATTTCGGTTTTTCCCGGCTTCGGGTAATAATGCACCAGTTATGGCGGCACTTATGATCGAGTTTGCCGAGCGCTGGAGGCGGCTCGAGAGGCTAGACCGAGAACAAGAAAGGCGACCTAGGGGATATGCCGCACCGCAGGAATGTCTCACTTATCGGCGATCCCCATCTCGGAAGGCTTTCTCATTCGAATACAATGTAGAATAAATCTACAGCGATTCGTGCAAGGTCAGCTGGCTGCGTAAGGTGGAAACTGGGCAAGACGCAGGACGGACCCGTCGTTTTGGTTCCTTCATACTTCGATTCGTGGGTGCAACATTGCACAGTTCAGGGCTATTCCTGGCAGAATTATAAAAAGTGCCCTCGGTCCAACTGTTTATTATACGTCAAATTTTAACCAATAAGGAGACAAAATGCCCAATCTCGTTTACAATGCGTAAAAGTTACGGATAATAAAAGCTTAAATGTGGAGCTTATAATTGACAATCTAGGATTTTCTTAATACACTCTTTAACGTTAGATCGGCATCGAGGTCGTTAGCGACGATCAACCTTAACATTTCGGAAACTTTTTCCTTTTGAGTCGCCCTTCCGAACTATTTTCAAATTCTGGTCATCTTATGAATAATAAGAATAACAATCAAAACTTGTTTAATGATTACTAATTTTAGACTAACGAAATTAAATCAAATTAATTTTATTTGCAATCTTTCTAACGCTACAATACTAGGTATACAAGAATAATATGTATAGATATAAAAGGAAGCACTGCATTTCAAATTCTTAAATTAATAACAGTGGCAATATTATTTTTGCACTTGAACGGGCAACAACTCAGAAGCAACCCTGATACAGTTAATGACTACAATTAATGATTACCTTTAAGCCTTTCGTCCTTCAAAGTTTATACGATTAACACTTCCTTTTTACAGGGAAAAAACTCGGAATTGGAAGATTTCTTAGTTTCAGATCCATGCAGCGACAACATTCGGTGATGTTTAACCTTAGAAATTATGCGAGCTCCCAGGAACAGCATGAGGCTAATTGTGAGAGAACTCTTGGACATAACGAGATGAGATTACGATGTAAAAGTGACATATAAGAGATCAATTGTTTATGAAACCTTCCTCCGAACTGAATGTGCCGAATCGTTTCAAACTTTCCAATGTGAATATGGAGACTGTAAGGAAAGTCCTGAAACTCATGAAACTTCATTTATAATACAAAAATGTTTAAATGCCTACAAAGAAATTAAAGAAAAAATTGAAATTTCGTGGGCGCGAGGATCTTTCTTGTAGCTTCTGTATTCACATTGTGAAGTTTGAAACGTTACAACCAATTCGGAGGAAAGTTTCATAAAGACGACCTCTGGCGGTACTTTTCATCACCTTAAAGTCCTTCTTCCACCTTAGTCAAGAGAAACACGGTGTGGCCAATTGGAAAGCACGTTGTCTTCGGAACTCCAACCCCAGGGAGATCCGAAGATCCAGACATCTCGGTCTCGGATCTCCTTCGATTTGAATAATTGAAAATGATCGAGAATGCCAGGCCCGTAGAGAATGGTAAAGTGAAGCTAAGTGTCGCCGAGCCGCCGCAGGTCGAAACACCCGTTCGAAGGAAAACACGGCCCCATCCTTGCTGGCAAAAGAACGACGAGTCGAAGGACGACCGACGTCCCTGGGAGGAAATTGCCGTAGCTAGAGGTTGATTTGCTTCGCGTTTACGCGGAATGCCGATCGCAATCTTTCGTGTTTCTCGACCGATGTACTGTTACGCCGTCGCGCGTCGAGCATTAAGCTTTTTTTAACGACAAATCCATCCTTCCTTTACGCAGGCCGCTGAGAGACAGAACTTGATCTTGACACGTTTAATTGCCGCCACTGGAAAGTCGAGTCACTGGCCAGCGGGTCGGTGGAAATTAATGCCGAGCGAGATAAGAGCTACGCATAAACGAGCAAATCAGTGCGCTTTCCCTCGAGGTGATTGCCATCGTATTTATGCGAGTACTCGCTACGTGATCGCCGTCGAATTTATACCACAGACTCGCGCAAGCCAACGATTCAAGATGGACGTGGCGAAAGAGCAGTGGCGCGTGACACGGGTTCATTCATTTCCATTCGTGTTCATTCACAAGAAACGCCACGCTAAGGCCGCTCAATTCAAATAATCCAAGCTCATGGGCAAGCATTCGCACGTTACGCCCGGTTGTACCCCCGAGGTGAGGTAATGAAAACAGAGAAATCGTGCTTTCAACATTTTCAGAGCGGCTGGGAGACTCGAATGGACAGATGTTACGCGTTCTTGATGAATTTCTTTTCTCCGATCGCAGGCGCTTTTCCTACGATGTAATCCTTTCCCAGTTTATACTCCGTGTATATATTCCAATCGATCCAGCATGGACGTAACGAAGGTTCATTGGCGCGTGATTAGCGCACCGGTGTTGTTCATTTTTATTCTTTGTTATTCATTCTAATTTATTTCTATCCATTTTCATTCACAGGAAACGCCACGCTAAGGCGGCTCGATTCAATTAATCCGAGCTCGTGCCCACGAATCAGCATATCACACGTTACGTCCGGTTGTACCCTCGGGGTGAGTTAATAAAAACAGAGAAGATATCGTGCTTTCGACATTTTCAGGGCGGCTAGGAGACTTGACTGGACAGATATTGCGTGTTCTTGGCGAAATTCATATTTTCGATCGCGTGCGCTTTTCCTACGAGATAATCCTTTCCCCGTTTGTACTCCTATCTATGCTAATCGATCCCACATTGACGCAACGAAAGTTCGTTGGCGCGCGATTAACCCACCGGTGTCGTTCATTTTTATTCATTTTTATTCGCAGGAAACGCCGCGATAAGGAGGTTTGATTCAATTACTCGCAGCTGGTGTCGAGGTAGATCCGATTCGAACGATATGGAGGAAATAAGTAAAAAGGCTAGAGCGGGTGAAAGGTGTTCTTTTGCAGCATTTCAAGAATAGCTGGAAGGCCTGGATGGGCGGCTCGTACTTGTTATTAATAAAAGTTTTATCTCCGAGACTCTGACTTAACCCCCCCTTGCGTGTTGACAAATTTGGGACATTTAAATCTGAATAATGCGATTTGAAGTTCAAACCAGGCCGTTAAAATAAATTGCCGGCAATACAGGGACACGTTTACGGTTGGCCCCCTTGAGTCTCGATGTAAATGCACTCGTTATGGTCCCATCTGAAGTAACTGCATTCTCGTCGGTGCAATCAGAGATGCGGATCAGCCATAAAACGCTTCTCGCGGAAGAGCGACAGGTATCCGGCCAAGTGTCCGGCCGAATCGGCTTACGGTCCTAAATCCTCGTTTAAGCCGCGATTTTCTCGGGGAAAGGCTTTGCCGAATCACGAGACCGGGTCTTGACATTCGCTGGAATTAATCGTGGGATGATTGACGGATTAGTTGTCCGAAATCGCCGCTCTCGGGGCGACGCTTTATTACCCTAGTCACGCGTATGTCACGCATTCCGCGTATCCCAATAACGAAGGGACAAACGGAACCATATTTCTCGAGTAAACGTACGCGACAAATGGCAAGACGTACGGAATTTTCTTCTCTTGGTCGACGGGAAACATTTCGCGCCGTAAGTCAACGTGCAAATATGCCCCTCAAACGTCGAGCGCTTTCTCAGAGGCTACCAAGGTAACTCGCGGTGCTCGTAAGTAATACATTTTGTTTCAACGCTTTATATCTTTCCAGGATACTTATAGCTTATCAGAATATGCCGATTTTGCATGACTATGAATTCAGATACACCGCTGCGTTTCGTGTGAATAATTAAAAGTTCTTGCACTGGCTGCAGGTGCATCATATCAGCGCTGCACCTTCTCATCGGCGACGTCGCGTTTCAACATCTCTTACCTTTCCAGGATAGTTACAACTTATCAGGCGACGGAGATTTTGAGAAGTTTCTTCAATTTAGACGCACCACTACTTATCTCGTGGATAATTAAATATTCTTCCACTACCGCAAGCATCATATATCTGCTCTGCTGATGCCTATCACGGATACGATCGTTCTCCAGTGACAAACGTGTGAATAAGCACGTATGCATCGAGCGTGATTACGTGCAAGGATCTGGGCAATTTTACAGATAGAGATTCAGCGAGTCGTAGGTGCAGTTCTATACATGTCTATGTGTATGTACACGTGCCTCTACCTACTTATGAAAAAGTATTATGAATATCCGTGCGTCACGTTTTCGCAGGATATCGATCAGGAATTGTTAGACTCGCGGGAAATCACGATTACTGTGCTATTGGCATTCGTCGCGAGTACGCTCGTTCTCCAATGACAAACGTGAACGCGAGCACGTACGCATCGTGCGTACTACCGTCGCGGCGTCTCGCAAGGTCGGGTACCAAGCACGTGCGACGAGGATCGCGAAAATAGAAATTCCTCGCAGATTCTTCCGCCACCACGTTGCTCGTAACGTCTGCGTCCAGCATAGTCAGGACAATTTTTCTATACCGTCTAAGAAGTGTTACCTGGGGTTACCTTCATCTGGGGTAGATATCTACCCCGTTTGCTTCTCGCCGACAAAATCCCTATCGAATGATCATGCCTAACACTGAACTTACCTTATCAGCATCCTCGTTGATTCTCAAGGAGGCGCATCTGAACCGTTATTAACGGTTAACATCGAAGTTGGGTCGTAAAACGAAATAACTCGTGACGTCGTATTCAATAGTAATTCGTTTATTACACCTAAAAATTATATGGCGGTGATCTGATGGGGTAATTGGTGAGGTCGTTCGACAGTGACTCGGCGGGAAGATCTTTCGTAGGTAAACTGGGACGACCATTTAGGACTCGAAGGCAGGTTAGCTGGTGGGCATCACACAAGCTCGTACTTTCGGTTTCGTTCTCCGATCGGTGTTTCAGGGCCTGGACGGGTCGAATGAAAGTGGATGATCGAGAAGAGCTCGGATGCTTCGCGCATCGATTGTCCAATACCGTCCGACCGATTCGTCGAAGACGGCGGCTTCGACTTCGCAGCCAAGGTGGGAAACGGTACCGAAGAATCGGGAGAACTTCGACGGGATGCGCGGAAAGAAGAGGGCTAAGAACGATCGGGGAACGAGGCGTCGATGCCCGGGATCGGACGCTACATGCTTCGGGGTTTGTCGGGGGAAACGGAGAAATGACCCGGTGGGACTGTCGAAAATGATATCACAAGACAGCATCGAGAAATGGCGCCGACAGCTCGGAGAAGAACGACGCCGAAGATCTCCCTGCTCCGCGGAGCTCCGTCGAAACGTACACCGTGACTTCCTGCTCCTCGGTCGCTTTTCGGTTTCCTCGTTCGCTCCTTTTTTTAACTATTTTATTTGCCTAACCTTAATAGTTTCAGTCTATGTAATTGAATACAGTGTCAACGTGGCAGCGCCACGGGTCAGTGCGCCGTCCCTCGACGTGCGTCCAGGAAGAGAGGAGCGCCGAGGGGATTTCCAGGGCGTTTCGAGGCCTCCGCTATTTTTTATACTTCTTTCGACCGATCGAAAGGGTTCGGATTCTATCGGACTCGACGTCGAGCTTGGAGTTTGTCGTTGGACATTTCTATTTTCCTAACCAGAGGCACGCGAAATGCCCGCGGAAACGCCCCCGCGACGCGTTTGCTAGCCCGGCGCACTGGCCCCTCGACCTATTCGCCTATATTCGCACTAACTGGTGACAGTTGTCTTTTACTTTCACTCCTGTCGGACCGCTCTTTTGCTTTCGCTTTCCCATTCGCCAAAGCACGCATACCTCAATTAATTCCAATAAATCGGAATCCGCCAAAAATCGCGACCGGACGTCACTCATACACGAGGAATACAGTTCCTCGACAGTTGTCGAAACGCCCGTAATACCATCCAAAACCAAACGTCATCCGAAGCATCGCTTCCTATCTAATTTCAAACATATCAAACATTAAAAAAAATCCCTCGCCAATCTGGCATAACTCGAGGACCCGCAATTACCGGAATATAAACCTCTACGCAAGGTTTTAAATTTGAGAAAAATTGTTAAAATCCCCAACACTTCGAGCGAAAGCCGGAGGCATTTTTGGCGAATTCGTGTACCTAAGGAACGGACACAATACGAAGAACATAGAGTAAACGCGCATCGGTAGTCGACGTGTAGTGGTCGCAGTCGCTCGTAACGTTACGTTATATGTACACCGAGTTGTGCATGCGGTTTCATAATAAATAATTCTTTAATAAATAGGCTACTACATTAATAGGTTTTGCTTTCAAGATTCGCAGCGAGGTTCGGCTCTCTCGGGTTCGTCCGGAGAATCGTCGACATCGTCGCGAAGAGAGGAAGAAGGCGAAGAAGCATCTCGCCAAGGAAGATGGAGCTGAAGAGGCTGCAATACTGATGGGAAGATGACGAAGAAGGGACGAAATGCCAAGGGAAAGCATTCGACGGATGGACATAGGACAGGAAAGTGGACACGGCGAAGGACGGGACGTGGAACTCGCTTAAATACTGACAGGCGTCTCGTAGTGCGCGGCTAGCTTCAAAGAGCAGCCAAAAGCACGGCATGAACACGTTGATACTATCTAACGGAGCTCGCATGGACGCCGAAGGGTCCGCCGGCACGACGGCGGTGCTTCGAGGGTTGTGTTGTTCAGGGAAGAGTCGATTTCGTCGGTCATCGGATAGACCTCGCAAGCTTCGTTCGGGCAAATCGCCCCGTCGATTGGGTAGCGGATCGCGACGCCAACATCGCTGTGGAGAAAGTCCTCGACCGATGGGAATGTGTTTTCGCGGTTTTCGATCGATCGGGCTCGTATAGCCAGCCAGGGTGCAGCGAATTAAGCGGAAGTTAGCCGTGCAATTTCCTTCTCCGAAAGCAAGGGACAAGTGCAACGCGAGGTCGAGGGAACCCTTTGGGAAGAAACCCTTCGCGAGGCTCTCTCGCGATCGAGCCGAGAGAGTCGACCGACCGCGTCAGATCCTGACGCTCGCTCCTGTCGGTCAGTCGATCACGACACGATCGACGACCGAGTAGCGTGGCGATACCTTTTGGCATTATCGTCTTGACCGGTGCGTCCCTCGTCGACATGCTCGGGGACGCCGAGGGGGCATCCCGAGTCCTGGAGCCAGGGACCTCCTGGTCCTCGACCCCAAGACCAGACTGGGAACGTCCAACGTCGCGGGGCGCCGCGATTCGTGGAGTCCGACATTGTTAACCTAACAGCTATGTACACGCGCGAGCTGTACCCGCTCGATGGCTCCTCCATCGGGAGCTGGAAGAGGAACCGGAAGTCTCGACTCACATGGCGAGTCCTTCCGGATGGTCCCCCTCGAGGACGGTCTCCGACAGAACGGTCGGGGCCGCGGAGACGGTGGGGTCGACGTCGGTCCTGATCGAGGTGAACGCGTCCTCCGCCTCCGTCATCGAGTCCACGGAGGGTGTCGTCGCCTCCTCTCCAGAGTCCAGGTAGACCTCCGTGTGGGAGCTTAACAAGAGTTCCGCCGGAGGAGCTAGGACCGTCGAGGACAAGAACGTGGAATTGGGAGGGTCGGCGGGGTTCCCGGGATCCCTGGGTTCTTTGGGATTCTTCGGGCCTCTGGGACGAGTGGGCTGGGGTCCAGTGTTGGTCGCGAGGTGAACGGTGGTCTTGTTCCTTCGACCGGCCAGGGCCTTGCCTCGCCTCGGACCCTTGAATCGAGCGGTGCCGGTGACGTCGTTCCCAGGGGCTGGAGTCCTGGTCCCGCGTCCTGCCTGGCTATCGCGCGCCGTTGATGGAGTTGTTGATGCACCAGGATACCAAGACGACGGTAATGTCATTGAGCCGGAGCCCGCGGGCGGCGCTGTTCGGCCTAGCTTCGCACTTCCGCGCCTCCTGGTGGACGGCTGCGAGACCCTCTTCGAGGCTGGACCCTTTTTCTTGGTGCCATTGGGCTTTTTACTCTGGTTATCGTGGTTGTTGTTTGGTTTTTTCGTGCTTGGAGATTTCTTACCCTTGTTCTTGCGTAGCTGCTGCTGCTGCTGCTGCCGCTGGTGTGGCTGCTGATGGCGATGGGGTTTCTCCCTGGCCTCGTCATTGGCGATCGCGTCCTCTTCGGCCTCGGCCTCCGTTGGCTCCTCCTCGTCCTCGGCGTCCTCGTGGACCCCGTCCTCCTCTTCCTTCTCTTCTATCCGCGACTTCCTCTTCTTCGAGGGGGTCTCGAAGGCCTGCATCCTGCAGGCCTCCTCGCTGGCCGCGCCCTCGCAGGACCTCTTCGACTCCGGCGGACCTTCCCCGCTGCCGTCGTAGGTGTAGCTCTCTTCAGGAACTTCGCAGTGTGGCCCGGGCTTCTCGCCCTCGCGACACTTTCGTCGCTTCTTCTTCCTCTTCTTCCGCTTCCGACAACGGAATCGATCCCTACCATCCTTATCCTGAGCCGGCAGATTGGGGCAAGCTGCCTGCTGGATCTGGCCATGGTGACGGTGTCCGTTGTTGTGCCTGTGCCGGACCCCGTGTTGGGCACCCATTAACTTGCGCTGCAGTGCCTCCACCCGATCCGGAGGCGCCACCTGCGTCAGCACCCTCGCGTAGGCCGACAACCTGCCCAGGTTGTGGCCCTTGGTCTGTACCCTGCGAGGCTGCCCGTGGCGGTTCAGACCCAAGAACAACGTCTTCTTCGGAGTGGACCAGCGCGCCGAGCTGTACGTGTTGTAGTTGTGCTGCTCCAGCGTCTCGTTGAAGACGCAGTCATCGGTGTACTCGCGCTGGAACAATGAAAAATATTGCTCGTGACTTTTTAAATCATTTTCCACCAATAGCAAGACCATCCCAAAGGAATTACCACCCTAAGAATAGGCTAATAGTGGGAATTCCTAAAACCACGACGATTCCTAAAATCGATTTTCTACATTTCTCTTTTGCTATTTGGATGCAATGGTGATTGTGGTGTCGAGATTGGGAAAAGGGTTCGTACACTTTCGGGATTGAGAACTCTAGGAGGAAGCATGCTCAATTGATGGTGCACCACCCTAACGGGAAGTTAGCCGGCGAGACGCGGTGACGTAACGCGACGCAACGTAACGCAACGCAACGAGACGGTCGCATGAGGCATTGAAATATAGAACGGGCGGGCAGGTACTCTTGATGTTTTTGCTCTCACTGACTCAGGCGACCAGAATCTCCAATTATATATAGAAACAGTGTCGAGCGAGGATCTGTCGAACTAAAATCCTCGTGAAAAACATCGTGCCAATGAACGCACCACCCACTAGAAGAGTTCTCAAGCTCGTACTTTTACTCCGCCATCTTGGCCCCTATTTCTCGTTTAATCAAGAGCAAATTCACCAAAAGACGAAATCTCTGGTATTCTTAATTGAATAAAAAATTGAAGTTGAAATGTCGAGATTCAATAGAAGCGCGGGGAAAATGCTGTTAAATTGGCCTTAAGGGAAATGAAGAGAAATAATTCTTGCTTCCACATCCGGTTGCGGGTCCATCTCATCCTGGAGCGGAATTCCGAACAGGCTGTGTTTTGTGACCGGCGATTGGTCCATTGAGGATCGAGCAGCCCATTCGTACCGAATTTATAATTAGAGCCGAATTGCGGGTACAATCAAACTCATTGATAGCCCACTGTTCGCTTACCAGAAGAGATTACATTACAGTGACATTGACCCCGTGAATTACGAGAAGCGGAGAAAAAACAAATAGCTCCGGCACCGACGAAAAGCCGCGAGAAGTCAAAGCAAACCGGAGAGCCTCTCTTCCAGATTTATGACGTCTAAGAGAATTTCGTAAAAGCGTTTCACGTGGCACGAGGCGAGGGCTCTCGAAGATACGGCAGCCTCGGATATTAAATCCGGAAAATTTCGGTACTACAATGGAAGTCGTACCTCGTCGACCAAGAATGTCGGAATTTAATATTAATTAAATCGTACTTTTATCAACCTAATATATCCTTCTCTATAGGGAACTTAAATAGAGCGTACGCCCCAGCTGTTACACAATTTTCCGTGAAACGACGCGGTGTCGTTGGACTTTTTAATTGGCTAATTTAATTACGGCTTCACTCGGAAAGTGGCGCTTGATTAACACGTTGCGTAACAGGGGCGGAATCTCTAAGTTCAACAGGAAGTGACACAGTTGTCGGGAGGAACAGACAGAAAGGGATGCTCTCTCTGTGCCACGCACGTCCAGGTCTATTTTGAGCATTTCGTAATGATACGCTCATGCGAAAACCGCAGTCCGTGCACGCATCTGGCACTGCACATATGTATCGTGCGCACCGAGTTCACAGTCTGGAATGAGGATCGCACGTGAACGTAACACTTACGGCTGCAGTTGCAGTTGCCCTTCCCGATGGGTGCGAGAAATCCTAGCGATTTCACGGGAAAAAAGTTCCTCATCACTGGAGAGCCTTCATTATTCCCCTTGGAATCTTTTTCTTTTTTTTTCTTAAGGGGACATGAAAGTAGCATCCGAAGGATTAATCGTTCATGAAACTTATCTCCAAACTGGGTGTACCAATTTGTTTCACACTTTACAACGCGAATGTGGTTCTGACACCCATGAAATTTCATTTTGCATAGAAATTTTTTTAATAAAAATAAACAATGAAAATGTCTATAAACATATTTGTACAAAATTGAAATTCCATATGTGTCGGGATCTTCGTTAGAGCCTCCATATTCACATTGCAAAGTTTGAAACGATTCGGTACACCCAGTTCGGAGGAAAGCTTAATAAACGAGGGTTCTTTGACGCCACTTTCACATCACCTTAAGTTAAGAATGTCGTTTCTAAGTTAAGGAAAAGATCCTCCTCTCTAATACCCATATCAGGGACACCGTTCACCTGGGAATTTTTTCCTCCCTCGTTTATATTAGACATTTAGGGACTTATTTGTTAATTAGTTTGCTCATTTACTCCCAACCAATCCGTGCGGATATCATGGCCTCGAAAGGAAAGATGCACTTGCGACAACGACAGGACACGTTGTAGGCTCCAATTGCAACGATGGCGCGATTCCATGGAGCCCGGCGAGCCTTCGGATCATGAAACGTAATCGTCGTAATTGCGTTATGTCGATTACGCATACGCGATGACGACTGTTGCGAGCGATTCGGCGGAGTTAATGCGAGTGCAAGCATGCGGTTGCGTTGTACGTGCACCCCCTTACGAGGTTAAAGCACCAACTGCGTAACTTCCTAACGAGCCTCTTCCTCTGTCACACGAACCAGGCACTGGTCGGGCCGTCTGCGTTGGACGTGCAAGCACACGATGCTCGTCGACCATCACGACATGTCCATGTTGGACGGTTCACTCGGGGTCAAAGTCAAAGTGACACCCACTTTGCTCGTTACGCGTTGCATCCACGTGGAAACCGCTCAGTGCAGTGGATAGCACGTTTATGGGTCAACGGCATCGGTTGACCTCATTGGTGCCGACGATTCTTGCTCCAGAAGGGCCAAAGCCTCCATTTCCCGAATTTCCTTGTGCTTCTTGCAAAATTTCACCAACGATCGATTGGACCGAGTGCCAACTGGATCTTTTTAGAGGTCCAGTTGCCGAAAAAAAATCTGGACCCCAAGGGGTCCAATTGATTCGTGCCATAAAATGCGTTGGGTGTTGGGCAACTCCAGAGCTGTTGCATGTCGTATGGTGCATGGGCATGTAACCTTCGAAGAGATCTGTCCTGAGAACCCTTTGTCGGACATTCGCGAATGACCCTATCGCGATGGTGACCGTAATTCTTTCATCGTGGACTTCGACGCCGATCGCGGATCATTAATGTCCACGCTTTATGGGGTAAATGATGTGCATGGTGCCGAGGGTAACGACGGCGCCGCCGAAAAGGACGAGTACCGAAAACGAATCCTTTGACTTGGCCAACGAACGATTGCGACCCAGACGAACAATGTCGTAAAGTTAAAGGGCAATTTGAAAGTGTGTATTTACTAGAAGGCGCCGCCATCGAGGGCTGCCACATAATTTTTAAATCCCGCGAGGCCACGTCGATGCGGCTTAAATGGAAATAAAGGAAGCTCCTTCGGCTCCAAATTGGGCTTCATTGCATCCGAGCAACGTGCTCTTCGGATTTCCTTTTTCAGGGGTCTATGAATCCGTTCACCTTCGGCGTAATGGCGGAATAGGACATTCTTGACGTGGGTGAGGTTGTAAATTGAAATCGTAAGGGACGACTTCACCCTTGAGAGGTCTGGGCCGTCGCTTTTACATCCCTGTCGCATAATTTTGGAGGCCGGCGGAATGTAGCGTAGAACGATTCCGATTGCAAAAGGAAAAAATGAGACATAGGTAGATAGAGGGTTCTGGGAACGAAAGCCGATGGCCCTGATGGGCTTTCTGATCCCTGCTCCCTAACGCGGGTCTTGATGCAGAGGAATTCAGTTTCCAAGGAATAACCTTGTGCATGAAGATTGCATTATTACACGCGACATTTCGTTCGACACCATTTAGCACACCAATTTATAAATACCACGAAACTATGAGGAGCAAAGTGCAGGGAACCTGAAAGTACGCTGGCCCACTTGGGAGCGAGCAAACGTTCACGACTTTGCACGACGCAACATCGTCGCATGGTTCTCTCGCGCGTTAGTCGCTGATGATCATCAATGACTACGAGTCGTAAGACGCCAATCAGCGGTGACAGTAACGGGGCAATGACGACCAGGGCCAATAACCCTGCCGGCGTTGTTTCGTAATGTCTCCAGATCAGGACGGGAACAAAATTAGCAGGCCTGGATGATCATCTTTTTCCCTCAAAGTGCATCGAAATTTATGATCGACGTATTCAGTCGGCGCGGTCAGTCATCTCCGTCTGTCATCTCGTTCGATATCTTTGCCGGGATTGGCCAAGATCGTATATCTCGAAGAACGGTAACATTTACGATGCAGTTTCTAGGCACCGAGCAATTGCAACAATTCGCGACTGATGCAGGGTGATTACATCTATAGTCCGGGTGCAGTTGTCTCCGATGTGCCCACTGTATACATCTGCAAAGTGGTCGTAACGATGACATCAGCAACCGTGTCCCTCTTCTGGGGATTATTTTACATCTTGAACATGCGTGCAGAGTCGCACGCGTTTAAGTGGCTTTGCACATCAGCGAGTTGTTCCGGTACCGTCCAAGCAATGTTATCTACGCTGCTCACTTCCTAGACCGTATAAATTGACAACCACTCGGGACTCCTGCACATTTAGTGCCGAGCAACTCAAGATGCCGAGGGAACCGTAATCATAACGTACGACCAGAAAAGGAGTTCATCTCGTTAAGATCTTTTAATAAATCGGAAGAATCTTGGCGTCAAATTCTTTTGTCTATTCGGAAAAGTCCTTCATTAAGTTTCTTGTAAAGTTTGACGAAATAAATATCAGTTCCCAGGAATAGGATATTCCCAGATAGTTGCAACTCCAGAATTGACCTCGAAGTAGAAGTCCAGAAACCTAGGACCACATGTTAAAAGATTAATTTCTTTTCAATCAGGTTTGCGTCGGAGATTTGCTACAAAAGAGCGTTGCGCGATCATGGACTCTTATTTTTGGTGGAGGATATCTTGGAAGAGAAAAAGAGATCTTCGACGAAACGAAGGAAGAGGTTGGAAGGAAGAGGGTTCGATTCGTCTCGCTCCTGTTTTCACCGCGACACGGCTAACTTCCCGTGTAATTGACTTAATCCCCTGGACGGCACGTGGCTGTGAGTTTGACCGCCGATTAGATAAATATAATCTAAATCGATAGAAAGTT